AATTTATTTTTGTATTTATACCCCGCCCTCCCCGCAAGTGGGCTCAGATAAATGTGTAGTGATTTCAAGCTAATCCTTTAAGCTTATTTCACAATTCTTTAGGTAACTAATAAACCAACTAAACTGAACATTAGTAACTTTTGCCATTTTTTTGTGAAGCAATTGGAGTAAAACTTTCTACTTGTGCCTTACATGGCTTTTATAAAGGCCAGCAAGATTGAAGCAAGGTGTAAGCTTTGAGAGCCAAAGCCCTCTTCATCGTATACCTGGCATCTGACTAATGGGGCTTTGTTGGTCTTGAAGATGTTAATGGACTTGGTGTAGTGGTTAAGAGCGGCAGAATCTAATCTGGAGAACTGGGTTTGATTCCCCACATGCAGCCAACTGGGTGACCTTGGGTTAATCACAGTTCCCTCAGAGCTGTTCTCTCAAGGGCAGTTCTCTCAAGCTCTCTCAGCCCCACCCACCTCACAGGGTGTCTGTTGTGGGGAGAGGAGGGGAATGTGATTGTGAGCCGCTCTGAGACTCTGAGTGAAAGGTGGGCTATAAATCCAACTCTTCTTCTCCTTCACACTGGACTGACAGGCCTCCTCAGCCTTGCCAGTTACTTGACCGGTTTCCATGATGCCCTTGGAACGATACCAGTTGCTGTGTTATGAACATTGTTCATGTCACAACAATTACAGTGCAATTTTTACAGATGGCTCCAAGTCACAGGACCGTGTGGGAGTAGCATTAGTCCATATGGACCACGCTGTTTCAAGGAAGCTTACCTCTGAATCATCCGTGTTTACTGCAGAACTTTTTACAATCTCACTGGCCTTGGAACTACATTAAGTTCTAGGCTCGGAACAATCTGTTAACTATACCGATTCCTGGAGCTCATTACTCGTGTTGGAACCAGTTAGGCTCAATGTGTGCCTGCTACCTTTCCCAAGTTATGGCAGAAAGCACGAACAGCAACCGTCTCCGAGCCAAAATTGCCGCAGTGCCGGTGGGTAAGGATGTTGGACGGGGAAAGGGCTCACAAATGATAGAAAGGCTGTTGGAAGTGGAAGGAAAAGGACCCTGATGTGTTCCATTAAATCCGTGGTGCGGCCACCGTGGAAACACTGTGTTCCATTCTGGTGGGCTCAGTTTCAAAAAGACATCGTCAACCTGGCGGAGGTCTAGAAAGCGGCAGCCAAAAGGAGCAAAGAGGCTGGAGCATCTTTCTTTGGAGGAAAGGCTTAAAGTGTCGGGGCATTTCAGGTTCAGAAGAAAAGATAACCAGGGGAGGCATGGAAGATGTTTCTCAAATTAAAAGGTCAGAACTTAGGCTGTTCAGTGAAAACTAGATGGGTAGGAAGCAGAAGGAAGCACTTCTTCGCATTATACTTAGTCGGATTGCTAGCCTCCAGGCAGCACCTGGCGTTCTCCTGCTATTACAGTTGATCTCCAGACAACCCAGGTCAGTTCTCCTTGAGAACATTGCTGCAATTGCTTGCTGCAATTGCTGTAGGGCATTTCACCCCACTGAGATCCCTCCCCTCCCCAAACCCTGTCCTCCCCAGGCTCCACCCCCAAAATCTCCAGGTATTTCCCCACCCAGAGCTGGCGACCCTGACACAGAGTCAGAGTTGAGATACAACATCAGACTGTGGGGTGGGAGGAATGAGCCCTGTGTCCCATCTTCATGCCTTCATATGTTCGAAGTCAGCAGCTTCCACTTTACCTAATCTCTAATCTGGGAGAACCAGGTTTGATTCCCCACTCCTCCATATGCAGCTTCTGGTGTGACCTTGGGTCAGTCACAAGTTCTCTCAGAGCTGTTCTCTCACAAGCAGTTCTCAAGAGCGCTCTCTCAGCCCCACCTACCTCACAGGGTGTCTGTCGTGGGGAGAGGAAGGGAAAGGAGATTGTAAGCTGCTCTGAGACTCCTTTGGGTAGTGAAGGGTGGGGCATAAATCCAATCTCTTCTTCTTCTTCATAGACCAGTGCTGGAAGCAGAATTTCACACTCACTGGACCTTTGCTTTAATCCAGTGAGGCTGCTATGTTAATAGCTACTGAAGGGGTATACCCTGTCGGCATGACGGTCTTATGGTCTCCGTCTAACTTTTAAAGCTGTCCATATTGTCCCGAGGGTTATTTTTTTAAAAAAAAAATATATATACTTTTTGACAACTTGGCCCCTGGTCTGGAGCATGTCAGACTTAATTCCTTTTCTTGGGGAAGACAGTAATCTGTGCACCATCTTCACATTTTTCGAAACAGTTGGCAGAGCTGCCTCCTCTGCCTCTTAAGACCACCAGGAAATTTAGCGAGACCTGATCGTTGGCTGATAGATGGAAGTCGTGTTTGGAACAGAAAGTAAAATTAGGCAGATTTCTTCAGACCAGAGCGCGCTGAGCAAAATCAGATGACACTCTGTCGCTGAAGGAGAACTGCATCTTCTAAGTTGCCAAAGACTGTCGTCATGATAAAACCGGAGTGCAACATCACGGCCAGATTTCAAAGGAATGGTTCCTTGCAATGAGACTCGACTATGGCTGTGCCTCCGGACCCCCCCCGATAGACCTGCTTATCATATCACACTGGTAGTGGCTGCAGAAATGGTATGTCCCCCAAAGAGCATTACGCTCTGCAGAGAACAATCTACTGGTGATCCCCAGCCCAAAAGATGTCCACCGGTCCTCGACCAGAGCCAGGGCCTTTTCAGCCATGGCTCCTACCTGGTGGAACTCTCCGCCAGATAACATCCATGCCCTGCAGGACCTTATGCAGTTCCACAGTGCTTGCAAGTCAGAGATGTTCCGCCAGGCTTTTGGTTGACAAGGGCGGGCACTATGCTGTCAGGCACCCCCCCCCCCCCCGGATTACTCTCTACCTCCCCTGAGAGACAGTGATGAAATGTTGATATTTTAGCGCCCTCTGAAGATGTTTTGGTCACATTTATTTACTTGTTGGATCTGTTTTCATAATTTACTAATGTTTTTATTGGTGTTCACCACCCTGAGCCCCGTGTTTTCAGGAAAGGGCGGTCTATAACGTTAAACTATAAGTAAATAAATAAAAAGAGGTGGCGGTATTCAGAAACGCTGCAGTATAAAGGGATGGGAAGGAAGAGGGGGTGATACTCCTTCAAACAGGCAGATTCTTGACACCGGGCCTTGGGAAGCCTGCAGTTTCCCAGCTGCTCCTGCTCCAGTAAGCAAGTCATCTGATGTGTTCCCCACAAGTGGGGAGCTGAGTAAAAGAGGTCACTGTGACAACGGGTAGTCAGTTGTCCTTCTGGCATCTCAAGGGTCTGCCATCTCGTTCCCCTCCTCCTTTCTCCTTCAAGCCCAGACCAGACTTTGGAGAACTGTGTTGTTCCAGTCAGGTTCAAGCCAAAAAGACAAATGATGGTTATTTTAGCATGTGAATCAATGAGTCTAATTGCGGTTCTAATCTGCTCGCTCTCTACTCCTCCAGAAGCAATCCCTTATGGAGTTGTCACTTTTAATCAGAGTCGCCAGTCGTCATAGCAATGCCTTTGCTGTGAGTCTCGCCTCTCTGCTTTTCGCGCAAAGCACTTTTTCCAAAAAAAGACAAAACCGGGGCTGTGACGAGTTGGAAATAAAGCTGGGCTGTGGGTCGGCCACATTTGTTTTGGCTGAGCAAGGAAGGTTCCCACCTGTTTTCAAATTCAGCCCAAAGGGATCTACCTAAACAAATGAAGGCATTCAGTTGTATCTGAGGAACTTATCGTTCCCCCTGTAGAATTTTTTTAAAAAACTTTGTTGTCTTAAGTGTCATAAAATGTTCATGGAATTAAATGAGAGAGAAGGGTATAACAAGGTGGGAGGATCCCAATATTTTATTTATTTGTTCAGAAAATGTTTGTGCCTGGTTGAGGGAGCTGATTAAAAAACCCCATAAAAATAATAAGAACAACAGCATGAGAAGTATCAATAATAAAACAAGCGAGGGCCATGGTGGTGGAAGGATCAAAAGAATGGGTGGTGGCAGTCTTGGTAGGTTTGAAGAGAGATGCTTGAGAGGAAAGAGAAGGCAGGAAGCCGTGGAAGAGCTTCCTACTGAGTAAACTATGAATGAGTTACTGGACAGGGAGAAGGAGAACCACTTAAGAACTGAGTTGTGGAGGTCTAGAGCACAGAGAAGGTCTGTTTGGATGGAAAGGCAACCTCTAACTTGCACGCGCCCATAGCCCTGCAGGTCCCTGAGGGCTGCTTCTACTCAAGTAGGCATGGAAGGAGAATCCAAAGATTATCTGAAAATCTGGCAAAGGTCAGAATGTGTGTGTATAAAGGGCCGTCAGGTCACAGCCAACTTAATGGCGACCCCGTGGGGTTTTCAAGGCAAGAGACTAACAGAGGTGGTTTGCCATTGACTTCTTCTGCATTGCGACCATGGAATTCCTTGGCCGTCTCCCATCCAAATATTAGACAGGGGCGAGCTCAGAGTACCCTGGCCATTTTCAAAAGTGGGCGCTTATTACAAAACCGTCATCTCACGAGGCTTGGAAGCAATAGTTCTGTGCTTGCGAAGATGGAGTATATTAATTTGTATCGTGGCTTTTGGATCCCACCAAAATGTGGGTCTCAAGTGCGAGCGAGACTTTTCTGCTCTGCTGTGTGATTCTACAGATTTTTGTGCCATGGGAAGCAGAAAGCCATACAATATTTACTGTGCGGAGTGTGTTTGTTCCTAGTTGCTTCCCTGGTGTTAACGTACAGAGACAGTGGGCTGGAAAAGGTAATTAAAGTCCCTTTTCCAAGCAACTGCTTGACCTTCCGCAGGAATTCCTGCCTCTCACATTGAGAACTGTGGCCTTTGGCTACATTCTTATGTCTCAGAGCGCAGACTGGATGGCCGACTCTCTCTTTGTATCTATGTGTAGAAAGCAGCTGCACTTCACTCTGAGTCACTTCATGCCAGGGTTGCTTTTTTAACATCTCTTTGGGGTCAGTGCCAAGGATGACGATGACTAACTGCTGTGTTTATTTACCCCCGCAGAAACTGGACGCCAAATCTCTTATCAAGCTGAACTTCGCTAAAAACAGTGATGGTGAGTTGGCACGGCGATGTGCCTGAAGGCTCTGCTCTCTGACGCCCCCGTGCTTGTTGCTGTGCAGAACTGAACTGAGAATCTGACAGAATGAGATGGGGACTCTTCTCCCCAATGGTAGGGTAGGTCAGAAGAGGTAGGAGCCCAGCAGGGGGCCATGTGGCACAAGCCTGTGCAGGTTTAAAGATAAAGGTAAAGGTTTCCCTTGCTCAAAAGCCAGTCGAATCTGACTCAAGGGGGGCGGTGCAGATCTCCGTTTCCAAGCAGAAGAGCCAGCGCTGTCCGAAGACATTTCCGTGGTCATGTGGCTGGCATGACTAAATGCCGAGGCGCACGGAACGCTGTTACCTTCCCACCGAAGCAGTACCTATTTATCTACTTGCAATTTCTTGCTTTCAAACTGCTAGGTTGGCAGGAACCGGGACCAGAGATGGGCGCTCACTCCGTCCTGCGGCACTCGGGTCTTGAACTGCCGACCTACAGACCTTTTGGTCTGCAGCTCAGCGTCTTAACCTCTGAGCCACCACTAGCAAACCCACGTCTGTTAAATTGGGCTTCCTCCTAGGTTCATGGGATTGCTGCCTTGGTATCTTTGATTCCTCCCCCTTCAAAATATTTCTGCAGAGAAAGGATCAGGTGGTGCACCAAGACAGTTTAATTGAATTTAAACATTTATATCCTGTTTTTCTCCCCAAAGGGACCTACAGCGAACAAATACATGACATGAATGAACCAATAGAGAAAACAAACCGTGACCACGTGAAACTGCCTTATGCAAAACCTTGGGTCCATCAAGATCAGTATTGTCTGTTCAGCTCTCCAGAGTGTCAGGGACAGGTCCTTCACATTGCTTACTACTGGCAGTGCTGGGGATTGTACCTGGGACCTTCTGCACGCCAAACAGATTCTCTACCACGGTTTCAAGCTGCCATGGGCTCAAGAGCAGAGGGTACTGAGGATGCTGTTCTGCTTTGCCTGTGCCGTGCCTGGGCATTGGTTGTACCCCACGTGCACTGACCCACTAAAAGTCTGTATTTTGTGCAGTGTATTTTGAAACATAATCTTAAAAGTCCGTGCTGAAACCGTTTGGTTGATGCATGACAGTCAAATTGCCGACTCCTACTGTGTTTTCTTTTCTCATTGCAAAACTACCCAGTAGGGAATATAGTTTTCTTCCATGTCTTTACAGATTAGTTTAGAAACAGTTGAGAAGTACATTTAAATCTGAAACATCCCCCTTGCAACAGAACAAACGAAGCGACCTTCTATCGAGTCAGACGGTTGTTCTGTCAGGGTTGGCATTGTCTAGTTAGACTGGCAGCGGCTCTCCAGTGTCTCAGATTGAGATCTTTCCTATCACCTACTACCTGATCATTTTAACTGGAGATGCCGGGGTTTGAACCTGGGAACTCCTATATGTAAAGCAGACGTTGTCATGAGCCATAGCGCTCCTTAAAATATAACTTCTCAGAAAAGCCACAAACTTTTTTTTGGGTGTCATTTAATTTATTTATCCATTTAGAACATTTTTGCTGCCCGAGGAAGCTTACAATAAAACATAATCAAAACATCGAAAGCTATGAATTAAAATCTAGCATTAAACCCCCAGCCAGAGCATGAAAATACTGAGCATCTTAAAATAACTTCTATTCATGAAGATATCATAGTTTTTGTGGGCATGGCTAGAAGGCACATGATGTGGCAAGCCAGCCACAGTAGAGCCATTCCAGGTCTGGTCAGAACATCGATAGAGGAGACCGCCTGGGAATCCCATGTAGGCCACTTTGAGTTCTCCGGAGAAAGGCGGGATATAAATGAAAATAATCAATATTTTATTCAATATTTACTGGCAGCAAAATTATGGAAGGAATATTGGGATCCGTAATGTAAAAGTTTTGTCTGCATAAGTTCTGGGAGCGTGCCATGAAAAATATATCTGGTTGGTTAAGTTAAGGGAAGCTCAGGAAAAGATGGGGGGTAGACCTGGGAAAAGGCCCTACTGCCAGTCCATCTTGGCCCCGCCCCAGCCTGCTCCACCCCCCAAGGAGGAAGGGAGAGTCTGCCTGGAAAGCCCCAAGGAGGAGGTGCCCAGCCAGGCTGGGAAGATGGTAAGGGTGTGGCCAGGTGGACCTGTCCCTCTCCAGGTGAGGTGAGGCCAAATGGGCATCTCTCATCCCTTCCCGTAGCCAGGCCAGGTGAAGCTGGGCCAGGATGGTGTCTCTTGCACCTCCATTTCAGTCCTGCCCACTCCCCGGGCTGGGTTGGTCCTAGTAGGGGGCCAGTACCCCAGGCCATCGAATCACTGGGACTCCCTGCTTGTACTGTTTAGAACCAAATGGGATTATATTGTTTGTAGGGCTGTCATTAGTACTCAGGCCTGCATGTATGGTTTTATGCACTCAGAAGTAGATCTGGAAAGACTTTCGCCTTGGTTTTAACTTAAATTTTATACTAACAGTGGTGAGTCTGATATATTACATTTTTGGGATTTTTGTTGCTATTTGATGTTTGGTTATGTAGTTTCTTTACCTGCTCTTTCCCATGCATAATCTTATAAACCTCGATCATGTCACCCCTCAGTCGTCTTTTCTCCAAGCTAAAGAGCCCTAAGCGCTTTAACCTTTCCTCATAGGGAAAGTGTTCCAACCCTTTTATCATTCGAGTTGCCCTTTTCTGCACTTTTTCCAAAGCTATAATATCCTTTTTAAGGTGTGGTGCCCAGAACTGCACACAGTATTCCAAATGAGGTCTCACCATTGATTTATATAGGGGCATTATTATATTGGCTGATCTGTTTTCAATACCCTTCCTAATAATCCCCAGCATAGCATTGGCCTTCTTTATTGCAGTCACACACTGTCTCGACATTTTCAGTGAGTTATCCACTACAACTCCAAGATCTCTCTCTTGCTCAGTCTCTGCCAGTTCAGACCCCATCAATGTGTATTTATATTTAGGATTTTTGGCTCCAATGTGCATCACCTTGCACTTGGCCACATTGAACCCCATTTGCCATGTTGACGCCCACTTGCCCATCTTTGACAGATCCCTTTGGAGTGCCTCACAATCCTCACTGGTTTTCACCACCTTGAACAACTTTGTATCATCCGCAAATTTAGCCACTTCACTGCTTACTCCCATCTCCAAATCATTAATGAACAAGTTAAAAAGCAGTGGACCAAGTACTGATCCCTGCGGTACCCCACTGCTTACCACCCTCCACTGAGAAAATTGCCCATTTATACTCACTCTCTGTTTTCTATTAATTAGCCAGTTTTTGATCCATAAAAGGACTTGTCCTTTTATCCCATGATTTTTGAGCTTACTTATGAGCCTTTGATGAGGAACTTTATCAAAAGCTTTCTGGAAGTCAAGGTAAATAATATCTATTGGATCCCCCTTGTCCACATGTTTGTTCACCCCCTCAAAGAACACTAATAGGTTAGTGAGACAAGATCTTCCCTTACAGAACCCATGTTGAGTCTGCCTCAATAGGTTTTGTTCATCTATGTGCCTACTAATTCTTTCCTTAATAATGGTTTCCACCAATTTACCCGGTATCGACGTCAGACTGACTGGCCTGTAATTTCCCGGATCTCCTCTGGAACCCTTTTTAAAGATGGGAGTGACATTAGCTGAGTGGTAAGAGGTCATTTGAACCTCTTACCACTCAGACCCAATCCAAACATCATATGAAAGTAAATCACATAACTTGCCGAGGTCCATGGGCCCCGAGGATGACCAGGGCCCCCAGAATTTTGGATTCCGGAATTTTGTCCCTCCTTGACCCCACTCTCAACAGATCTGCCCCTGTCGTATACTAAAATAAATGGTAATAGGTGTGATATACATGGAAAAAAATGCCAAGACAGTAGATTGAGGGTATGGGAAGGGTATGGCTATGAGAGCTAGAAACATGGCTTTTTGTTATGAATTAGAATGAAAAGTATGATTGTTAGTAACAACAGATTCTCCAGTTGCCTTGTATTCCCAAGTATGAACATATGTGGTTGGAGAACTCCAACATATTGTGTCCCCCAAACGTAGACCTGTTCTTCTCAATTTGCTTTTTTGTATTAATTGAACCATAATGTGGAAGGCAAACTCAGAAAAAACTAAAGGGATTTCACAGTTTCCTGTACATACTCCAAGGCAGGAAACTGATCAAATATTAATAATCTACTTTGGTTTGCCTTTTTTTTTTTGCAAAACCAGTCTATAAATTTTCTTACTCCCTTGCCTTTATTGCTTTGTTTACCTAGGAAATATTTAATATTTATCTCAGCCTTCTGGAAAATTTACAACTCAGTTTCATCCAAAGCCAGGTGCTTTTATTGAAAAGTGCACAATCAGATTTAAGAAAATACTGTTTGCCTGGATGGACTGCAAAATATTCTCCAGCCTCATGCAGACCAAATGGCATGTTTTGGGGGTAATTTGTTTCAAACAAAGACATGACTACACTTGAACCTCTGGAATAAATTACTTTCTAAACAATTTACCAGAGGGCACTTCTTTTTTTATAATATATTTTTATTTTAAGAACAAAATAGTAACATAAGGAGAAAGAAAGAAAGAAAGAAGTTATGAATTTATATTTATCCACGATTATTATACCTACAAGATATTCTAAACAAGGAAGTAAAGAAATACTTCTCCCCAGCATCCCCTTAATTAGAATTTTTATGACATTTTCTACAATAGTTTCATCATTAATACATATTCTGTATTACATGTTTCATCAATACTACATACTAGCTATAACTTTTAATATACCAAAGTTTGAAGGAAAATCTATTATCTATCTTGCAATAAAAAATAAGAAATATTTTGTTCAAAATTTACATCTTTGTGCATTTATATTCAAAACTTTTCTTTCTTCTGCATTACATTACATGTGTATATCTTACAATACATTTATAGACCATTTTTAAACTGTTTCTCATTCTAAATTTGTCTCCTGCTTGCGTAATAGACACTCCATCTTTCCTCAGATTTCAAGAAGGATCTGTTTCTCAAATAAGTTGTTAATTTCGCCATTACTGTATAATCAGCAAGTTTGTTTTCCCGTTCTTCTATGCTTGGACAGACATCTGATTTCCATTTTGCTGCATAAACAATTCTAGCAGCTTTCACTATATATTTAAATATCTCTTCCAAAACTTTTGGTAATTTGTTGGGCAATATTCCTAGTAACACATCCTTAGCTTCCATAGGAAATCTGAATTAATATATATTGCATTGTATTTCCATCCAGTATCTTTTTGATTTTTTACACGTTTACCACATGTGGTAAAAAGTCCCATCTATGTCTTGACATTTCCAGCATTTTCCTTTGTAATTTTTGTCTACTTTCTCGATATACCAGAGGGCAGTTCTTATCTAGTCCTTTCTGCTCAGGCCTACTTATATGAAATTAATTCCCTTTTCCTTGTAATTTGTTAGGCTGAGATAGGGCTTTTTATCTTCATCTTGTATGAAGACTCTTACCTGTCATACATAGAACTAGTCTTACCATGTTTCTCCATCAGTAACCTTGAGGCTTGACTACTGCTATGCACTCTATGTGGGTCTACCCTTGAAGACAACTCAGAAGCTTCCACTAGTACAGAATGCATCTGCCTGCCTTATGGTCTGATTTGGGGTGCTAATATCACATTCAAGCCTCTGTTACAACAGGTTACTGGCTACTAATCTCCTTTTGCATTCAATTCAAGATGCCATTATTAAACATTCCCCTCAAGATTAGTTCCACACAACCTTTATTGGTGATCCCTTCCTACTACTGAGTCCCATGTGCTGCTGTGGGAAACAGGGCCTTTTTGGTGGTTGCACCTGCTGCCACCCCGCCTTATAGAATCAACACCCTGCGGAGGTTAGGCAAGCATCTTTACTATTCATGTTTTGTACAAGGTTGTCAAATGCTTCTTTTTAATTAATTGATTAATTTCCTTTATTTCTAGTTCTCTTTCTTATTGAGACTCAAAATGGATTACATGTTGTAAAACAATACAATTATATAGACTTGAGATCCAGTGGTTAAGAGTGCTGGACCAGGATCAGAGAGACCCAAGTTCGGATCCCCACTTGCTGGGTGACCTTGGGCAAGTCACATACTCTCAGCCTAACCTGCCTCCCAAGGATGTTGTGAGGATAAAATGTAGGATAGGAGAATGATGTAAGCTACTTTGTGTTCCCAATAGGGAGAAAGGTAACTGCGACATGAGAAATCTGATAAGCAATGAAATAGAAACTGGCATTACAAAAATTAGAGGCAGGGCAAGAAAAAAAATCAGACATAGTATGTCAAACAATGCAGAAAATGGAATTACAAAAGTAGAAAAGAATGCAGCATGAGCAGGATAATATATACAATAAACAGATAGTGCATACTACATGCAGTCCTGTAACATTACATCATCACCCACCCATCTTGGAATGTGCTTCTGAACTAATGTGTTTTTAGTGACAATGTTTTGTATTGGTGTTTACTTTGCTGCTTGATTCTCAATCGTGGCATAGATCCCAAGTTCCCAACTCCCTCGTCTGCATTCAGAAGAGACCTCTGCTTGTGTGGGAGGGAAGGGTGCTTTTCAGCACTTCCTCCTTCCCATTGTGCTTCCGTACTTTGGTTTCTAGCTGCTCCCCAAGGGTCCATCAGACCTCTTTCAGAGCCTCTCGCATCGGTAGAGGGCTTCTCATGCCAGAGGAAGGCATGGCCATTAGCAGTCTTTGTATTTCTGAGTTTGGTTATTGCTTTCTAAAATACGATGTTTCTCCATCACTTAAAAAATTAAAAACAAACCAAAACCCCTGCATGGAAAACACCCCTTCGCAAAGTTTTACAAATCAGTCAACAGAAATTGCTCCCCAGTTGGCCCACTGATGCTCATTTTAAAAGATTTTTCTATTGCAAATACTGAAGTTGGTAATTTTGAGGGGGGTGGTTATTGTGAGGGTAAGATAAGATGCAAATCCCATTGATAAGCAGTCTAATAGTAATGTTTCTTCTTCTTTTTTCTTCCTCCCCTAAATCAGGCAAATACCACTGTCCAGTCCTCTTCACTGTGTTCACCAATAACTCCCACATAGTGGCTATCAAGACGACAGGCAACGTGTTTGCAAATGAGGTGAGTTCACTGCCAGGTCTCCTTGTGAAGTCCTTTGGCATCCTTTGCCCTGACCGAGTCTGGTGCAACTATGCGCAGGAGTCCCTGCGGCTGAAGGAGGAGGCTGTTGCATGTGTGGTATTCTTTGCACTCATATTTGCGTTTTTGGAGCTCTCTCCCTAACCCCACTTCCCAGTCCCGACACACTCTATCCCCTGCCCGACTCTGTTAGCATAGACAGAGCTTAAGAGAGTTGTGCTACAGTCTGGGAGACTTGAGATCAAATCAGTCAATCCTAAAAGAAATCAACCCTGACTGTTCCCTGGAAGGCCAGATAATGAAGCTGAAGCTCAAATACTTTGTCCACCAAATGAGAAGAAGGGAGCACTCACTGGAGAAGACCCTAATGCTGGGAAAGACTGAAGGAAAAAGAAGAAGGGAACGGCAAAGGATGAGATGGTTAGACAGTGTCATAGATGCAATGAACATAAAATTAAGCAAACTCCGGAGGACAGGAGGGCCTGGCGTGGTGTGGTCCATGGGGTCGCGAAGAGTCAGAGTCGACTGTGTGACTGAACAACAACAACAACTGGGAGACTCAGGTTCAAATCCCCACCTTGTCATGGAAGCTCCTCCGGGTGACCTTGGGCCAGTCACTTATTGTCAGTGTAACCTACCTCGCAGGGGTGCAACGAGGGTAAAACAGAGGAGGGGAGAGCCGTGCATGCCACCCTGAAGTTCCTTGGAGGGTGACGGGGTAAAAACGTACTAAATAGATAATAGTACACACACACCCCCGGTTAGGAATCAGTCCCCAAAGTAAAAGGATTTTTTTCTACATGATAATTGTCAGAAAGTATGCCCACAATGCTGGAGACTAGCCAGAATTCCAAGCGTGTAATTACGGCTGTTAAAATGAGAAGAATTCAGCTGTGATATATACATGCTGGGGGGGGGGGACTTTTTAAAAGGTTGCTTTGCTCTCACAGCTTTATCATCATTTGGGACGGTAGCTCTTTGTTTCTAATTTGACTCTACTTATTTATTACATTTCTGTCCTGACATTTTTCAGCCAGCGTTGATTCCCAAAGCAGTTTACGGGAATTACAAAAATCAGTACGCATGATGTTCAAATGCAGTGCAAATGTTTCACCGGGGAGGGGGAGGAGTGGTCCTTAGCTGGATCCAAGCAGGAGGACTGACATTTTTCAGCCAGCGTTGATTCCCAAAGCAGGTCACGGGAATTACAAAAATTAGTACGCATGATGTTCAAATGCAGTGCAAATGTTTCACCGGGGGGGGGGAGGAGTGGTCCTTAGCTGGATCCAAGCATGAAGAGGGACTGTCTCCCCCCCCCCC